GTTCGAAAAACTCTTCAGGTACAGGAATTTTGGGAAGAGCTTGGGAAAGGGATTCGGGTATCTTTGAGAATGAATTTCTCAAAAAATTAACATTTTCGGGTGCCGGGTACCGGGTGCCGGGTAAAAAATACCAATGAATATGGCTAGTCACAAAATTTTTCCAGCGCTATCCATTGCCCAAGCTAGCTAGCTAGCTGTGTAAGAGCCTTATAGCATAGAAAGCAAGGTAAAACTATAATAGTAGAAGTAAAGCGACGATAGAAGACGGCAGAAGCCAAGGCAATATCTTTAATTGAATTGGATATTTGTGATAAGATTGCTTGAAGTCACGCAAATTCGGATTTGATTCGGATTTGGCCTTTTTTGACGTTCTTAAGAAGAGCAACACCCTTCGGTGTTCTTCGGATTATTATTATTATTATTATTATTATTATTATTATTATTATTATTATATGACGTTTGGTCACTGATTTTTGTTTTGTGTTATGATTTTTGAGTTTCTCCAAACTAGAAATTCATCCCAAAATGCCCGCATTTTGCTCACCTGAAATCTGCTCAAGATAGCTAGTCATTTCTTGACTCCAGGACAGCAACTGATTCTGAGACTTTAAAGTGAAGATTTTAAAGCGATTTGGAAGCTCGGAAAGCTTTCGCCTAATCCCCCCCCTGCCCCCCCCCCAGGATTGCAACTGCACTGCACTGCACTACAGTTCAAGCCTAAACCTAAGCCTAGGCCTGACTATAGACCAATTCCGACTTAAAGCTTAAGGCTTAACACCTTGTGGTGCCCATTCCTAACTGCGCCAAGCCAAGTTTTGCCTAATTTTAAGTTTAAGTTTAAGCTTAAGCTTCAGCTTAAGTGTTAGCCTGAGCCTGAGCCTGAGCGCAGGTCTAAGCCTAAGCCTATTGCTTGAGACTTCACCTAAAGCTTCACCTAAAGCCAGACGATGAACTGAAGCGGATTAGCATGGCTTAACTGATGGATGTTTCGGTGATGAGTAATATGCTCATGCATACACACACATATACATATCACATTCAATAGACTCCATAGAAACTATTAAAATCCAATTTAATATCTCAGCAGAAATTTGAGTTAAGTTACGAATAAA